CATCCATCCATCCATCCATCCATCCATCCATCCATCCATCCATCCATTCATTTGGCAATCACTCAGTGAGCAGCTCTTATGACCAGGGAGAATCAATGATGGGCTGTCGAGAGAGGGAGAGAGTCTCAAAGCCAGGAAGCTCTGGGTTCAAATGCTACCTCTGGTACACACTGCCCCCATGATCCCAGGCAAGTCATTCAAGGTCTCGGTGTCCAGTGTAGGCAATTCATTATAACTTAAGTTTTAGGAAAGGTGCCAACTTGCACTGGTAGAGAGATTTTCCTCACCTGGGAGTTTCATGTGCCAGTAAAATCCTAGGTCCAGCCTTTACCGCGGTCCCTGTGTGTGAGGCCCAGTGTGGGTCACCCAGAGGTGACACGGCCAAGAGTAAGGTGGGCCTCCTGCCTCAAGAAGTTATAGGGCGGCGCAGACAACAGCTACACCATCCGGGAGAAGGGGGTCAGCCAGTCCACCAGCCGCCTGAGCTGTTCACAATCTGTCTCTGACTTGCGTTTTCCATCTCATGTCCCTTTTAACACTCTGATCTAGCCATGATGGCCTGTTGCTGTTCCTTTCAACCACCATTTGCCCAGGTTGTGCCCCCTTCACTTTAGGTTCAAGCCCCATCTTCTATGTGAGGCCCTTCCTCATCCCTGGCAGCTGGTGCCATGCCTGCCCCTTCTCCACAACCTTGTATCTAGTTTGCCTAAATGGTCCTTTATTAGGTTCAAAGCAGGTGCCAGTCTGCCTTGGCAGGGGGAGTGCCCTCATCAGGAATTTCTCATACCGGTGAAATCCCAGGCAGGTCTGGGCCCTAGCCCTGAATTCTTTATCCGTGGACACAGGTACATACTGCTTCTCTCTCCTGAGGGCAGGGATTGTTTCAGTTTTTGACTGTATCCCTGGGACCAGCATAGGACCAGCATAGTGACCGGCACCCAGGAGGTGCTTCATCAACACTTGCTGATTGCTCGGTCGGCCTGAAAGGGCCAGTGGAGTCCTACTGTAACTGCTTCACGGCACCCAAAGGCAGACTCTACCCAGAGATGGCTGCCGCCTCAGCGCCCCTGGGTTTGCCCCTGAAGGACCAGATGTGGAGTCACGCATGGGGGCTTCTTGACTTTATCCAGGCTTGGTACTCAACCTTTGCCCCTACCACTGGTCTTCGGGCTGGTGTCATTTCTCCTCCTGCCTGAGCTTGGATGGGCATAATAATGGGCAGGGGCTTCCAGAGAGGCTGAGGGCCTACTTGGCCCTGGGCCTACTCCCCCTTCCACCTACGTGGCAGACCACCCAGAGAGCCCCCATGCAGGTGCACAGGACCATCGATGGAGGCCCCACTTTACAATGCCCTAAAAAATCACACTGTTCTCTAAAGATCCCCTAAAATGCCCCAAAGGAATGCCCTCGTCCCTTACTTTGGTAAATCCTGGGCCGTTTGTGATCTTCAAGTCCTGTCTGGCGTCATCGGAGCCGTTTTCTGAATACGCGAACACTGTGGAGGAGAGGTCACACACAGCAGTCCTCAGGGCCCGGAGACCCCTGGGCCACCTGGCCACCCTGCCCTCTTCTTCTGCCCAGCCTCCAGGTGGCTGGGCTCATCTCCCTGGTCCCCGGGATCTTCCTTCCCTAGAGTATTTCTGCTCCCCGATGGACAGCTCTTCTAAATGTGGGGGCCGGGCTTGGCGCTCCCACAGAGGGGCGGGGCAGCCTTCTCTGAATTATAGGTTCACATTTCTCTGTTTTTATTTAGGCTCTAAGCCATTTTCTTGAATCTCCTAAGCTGAAGGAAAGGCATCTCATCTGATTGTGGGAAAAAAATAAAATCCCACGATCCCCTCCCCCACCCCCAACTGGTTTTCTTTTCACTTACAGAGTTAGGTTGGGGTTTGTTTTCAGTCAGCGTGAATGTCGCAGCGTATTCACACCCCTCTCCCCCTCTTCACCGCTACCTGGACTATTGCGATGGCAAACTGATCTCCCTGCCTTGTCTCTGCTCTCCCCCGCCCATCCTTTACATGGCTACCCTGTGATTCTCCTAAAGAGCAGGTCCACCTAAAGGTCATCTGTCCTGCTCAAGATGCCCCATGGGCTCCCTAGTGCCCCTAGGATCAAACACAAAACGCAGACAGTCTGGCTCTAGCCCCTCTGCCCAGCCGCTGGACCCCGCTCCCCGTGATGTCCGCTGTGGTCCATCCGAACCCCCCTGTTTGCTAGTCCCCTCAAGTGATGTCTTTCATCCTCCATCTTTGGGAATGACCAGTTTCTAGTAGCGTGCCTTCACAAGTTAGCCCAATTTCAACGAAATAAGGTCACGGTAGCAATGTACAGTGAGTGAATGGAGATCCCTTGGATGGCAGAATTGGTAGGCTCTGAAATGTGTGGGGGGTTGGAAAATCAGAGGTTACGCCTAAATAACGTGGAGGGGCAAACCGCAGAGGTCACTGTCACTATACAAGCATCTTTTCCATGATCGATTGATCGGTGGAGAGCCTGCCCACGCAGTGTGGCTGGGCGCCCAAAGTAGGACAGAGAGGGGCTCACTTGGCTCCCTGGCCTGTGACCTCAAGTGGTCCTGATGTGCGCTCCCACCAGCTCCCTTCTTTTCTACTCACCACTGTTGCTGCGTCTCCTGCTTGGCTCAAAGAATACTCCAGGCACCTCCTCTGGGACCTCGCCAAGGTCTGAGATCTGTGAGAAGACAGAAGAGGATGAGCTGAGGGCCCGGAGCATCCCTAGGCCAGGGAAGAGAGGTCTCGGGGGCGTGTTGCTGGCTGGAGACATTAATGGCATTCCAACAAAATAAAAAGTGCTTCGTGTCAGTCCATCTTAGGTCCATCTGGGGCATTAGCTGTCTCTGGACACATGTGGGTCTCCAGGGCTGGCCCCAGGAAAGCTAAGCCTGACCTAACAGGGAAGGGAGCCGTACCTGGGATATCACACTAATGTTGGGGAAAATCTCCCTGGGCCCTGAGTCATGCGGGTGGAGAAAGAGTTCTGGGACCTGCTGAGATCCTGCAAAGCAATCCCCTTCTCTGCTCATGGGCTGCCCACAATAAGTACAGAAGTGGGGCGTCCTTGCAATAGGCCCCAGCAGCAGGAGTCCCTGGGCAGGAGGATTCTCCCCTCTAAACTGACAAGAGTCCTCCTCCCCTGTGATGGAATGGCAGCATTTTCTTTTCCTTTTGGATTTAGTCTCAGTACTATTCAGGTTTTGACCACGAGTCTCTCACCCTTGGCCTCCCTTTGGTATAACACTCACCCAATAAATCAGAGAAACCTGATGAGAAATTCTAAATGGGGGTGTGAGGCTGGGAGGCCTTGCCTCCACTGAAGCAGGGCACCTGTCTTGCAAGGCTCATCACATCTGAGGGATACAGTGTGGATGGCCCTCTGCCCATGGCCCACACGCAAGGTAGAAACCCAAGCTGAGCAAACATCGCGCTGACCGCTCGCCCACCTCTGCACCCAAGGAATAGACATTTCACTGTCACCCCCAGTTGGTGTGATCTGGGGAAAGGCAGCACTGCTCACCTCTACCCTCCCAGATCAGGGGGAACTGAAGGGTGCAAAGCTAACTCTATGGGCTGATCACAGGGCACCAAGCGCTGTCCACTGAGTTCCATCTCGCACAGTCTCATCACTCTGGCATGCCTTCCCTCTCTCTCTGTCTCTCCTTCCCTCTTTCCTTTACCCCCCATCCTTCCTTCTTTCTCTCCTTCCCTCTTTCCTTCCCCCCTGCTTTTTCTCTTTCCCACTATTGGGCGTATGCCCTAAGATGGTCAAAGACAGATAGTGCCCATATATACTTAGCACTGTTTGTGGAAACTAAAAACTGTAAGGCTGGGGGTGGGGTGGGGGGGTGAACTGAACGTATGTACAAGGTGCACAAATGTAATGGTATATTATTGTGCAGGAGGAAGTGAAGATGAAAAATTCAGAGAAACATGGGACTTACACGCACTGATGCCAAGTGAAGCAGGCAGAACCAGGAGAGTGGTACAGACAGAGGCCACAATAATGTAAATGAACACGCCCCTAAAGGCGGCTGAGCTCTGAATAACTATCGTGATGACTGGGGCTGGTTCAGGAAGATGGATGAGGAACCACACTTTCCCTCCTCTCCGTAGAGAGGCGGGGGACTACGGGAACCGACCATGTTGGTTGGCTTTGGTGAGGAGGGAGGGTTGGCGGGGACACATACCAGGGAGTAGTTGTACAAAAATGACAGGATCGTTGAAACTTTAATTTCAAATCGATCCTTTGTTAAGTGTGAATAAACAACATCCCACATATTCAAAATTCCGAGACTATCGGCACCCATGGAGGGAGGAATGCTTCCCAGTCTCCGCCAAGGGTGTGACCTGGGAGGATTCCCAAGTGCTTCAGTGGACGAGCCCAGAGCCATCCTTCACTTCTCCTCCTCTCTCTGCACAGCCTCCCCCAGCCCGTGGGGGGCTGACGAGTCTGCCTGACATCCCTGAGTCAGGGCAGTCTCCTCACGCTGGCCGGCCGGATTCAGGCCCCATCACATTGCAGATGGAGTATGACCACCGCCTCCTACCTGACCTGCTCCAGCTCACTGCCCTCTCTCCCACTCAGCTGCCCAAATCATCTTCTCAAGGCAGAATTCTGACAGTGTCTCAACCTTCAATGACTCCCTATGCCTGGAGGATAAACTGTAGATGCCTCGAATTGGCACTGAAAGCCCTTTGAGCCCCTCCCAGTCTAGTATCCCATGACCCACTTTCACACTCTCAGTGGTCCACCTATGGAGTCCACGTACTATTCCCCCAGCTCAGCCTTCCAGGCCTTTGCACAGACTCTCTCCAGCTGGAGATGGGCCCCCTCCTGGCTTCTCTCTGGCTCTGGAATTCTTATCCTCATTCAGTCACTGCCTCTCATGGGGGGAGTGGGGAAGCTTTCCTGATCCCCCCAGGAGTGCCCTGTCCCTCCTCAGATTCCCTTGAGTTTATTTACTTCTCAGTGCTCAGGTTGATGAGGGCCAGAAAAAGAGTGCTTGAATGCTGTGTGAGCCGATGGCGGGGGCAGATCAGGGAAAATTCTAATCGGGGAGGCCTTGAAAGGAGGGGCGATAGTAACTCTCAGGGCTAGAGCATTCTCCTATTCCCAAAGCACTTTTTGCCTGGCAGGGTGGCAGTGTTAGTGTGATTGCCCTCATTTTACAGATGAGGAAACTGAGGATCGGAGAGGGGAAGAGATTTGTCCATGGCCATGTGGCTAATGAGCGATGGAACTCAAATTTGAACCCAGGTCTTCTGACTGCTACCTCTAGGATGCTCCCAGGTGGAGATGAGGAGGGGGAAGGGAAGGCTGAGAGTGGCAGTACTGTGGGGGCGGGGAGAGCACAGGTAGGAAAGGCAGGCCACCAGGGCAGGGACAGGGCCAGGGGTCATAGCACAGGGGCCAGATCTCGCAGGGAGAGCATTTCATCTCCTTGGCTGTGGCAGAGAATCTGCCTGGAAAGCCCTGGGGTCTGCCCTGATTTGGCTTTTGTTTCTGGTTGGAAGCATTGAGGACCAGCAGACTTTGCCAGTGGACCCTTTGCAACCACCCCCAAAGGCATTGTGTCAGGAGTTAATTCAAGATGTACCCCAGAAACTCGGGCTCCCATCCATAGTCCCTCACATGAATGCAGCTGTCTAGCTGACCAAGCCCTTTCCTGGGGTCATTTCAGCTTCCTGGGGGTGAGATTCTCTATCTCTGTCTCTGTTTCTCTGTCGCTGTCTGTCTGTCTCTCTCTGTCTCTCTCTCTCTCTGTCTCTGTCTCTCTTTCTCTGTCTCTGTCTGTCTGTCTCTCTATGTCTCTGTCTCTGTCTCCATCTCTCTCTCTCTTTTTCTCTGTCTCTGTCTCTGTCTCTCTCTGTCTCTGTCTGTCTGTCTCTGTCTCCATCTCTCTCTTTCTCTGTCTCTCTGTCTCTGTCTGTCTCTCTATGTCTCTGTCTCTCTTTCTCTCTGTCTCTGTCTCCGTCTCTCTCTTTCTTTCTCTCTGTCTGTCTCTGTCTCTCTCTCCCCCCCCCCGGTGTCTGTATCCTTGTCACCTAGCCTGGCACCTAGCTTCATAAATAGGTAATAAACAGTAGGTGCTTAATAAATGCTTGTTGCTTGAATTGCACTGTCAGCAGATAACATCAGGGGAAATGTCAGAGTTTCAGAGAAGGAGGAGGATTACAGAGTTCCGGTTGGGAGAGCTGGATGCACTTCCCGAGCTTCCCCTCTTGGTTTTCTGTGCCAGGGACGTGCCAAATCGGAGAGCCTCATACACTGGGTCCACCTTGTTACCACAGGCTGCAACAGAACACAGGAGGCGCCCATGAGAGGAGCCTGGCTGTAAAGCCACACTAGCAGAGCCCTCCCCAATCTCCTTATTGGGCCTCATGGGCCATCTCTGAGGGGCTCCCCCCCCAGCCCAGACCTTGCCCCGTGGTCTGCTGGGTATGTGCCGGGCACAAGTGACGCATGTCCATGGAACGTGGCTGGGCACTGGGACGCCCCTATCTCAACCTCTCATTCTGGGCCCTCTCTAACCCCAGGCTCAGGGTGACTTTCTCTCTCTGTCCCTGGTCCTCAAATCAACTTTCTTTTCTCATCTGTACTCCCTGAGAGAGAAGACCTGGATAGACACCCTGTCCTTCCTCGAGGACACAGATGGGTGAGAAGTGGGTCCTACCAGGTCTCCTGGACTGCCGGCTTTAAAAAGTCCCCCAAAGCACAAAGGCGTGATGCTGAGACTCTGGGGCAGTAGGAGAAAAACAGGAGGAACGTGACAGAGATAAAAAACAAGAGAGCGCGGCATGTTCATGGTTATTTCCCCAAGGAAGAGGGCGAGGGATGGATGATGGAGGATTCAGAGCCTGAGCTTCTTTATCCCTTGGACAACAGAAGCCCTGATTTGGGACACTTGGGGTAGAAGACGGAGGGCACCACTGTCAGGGGCGTGGGTGTGCCTGGGCTGAATGAGGCAGGATCAGCAGCCGGGCCGGCTCCCCACTCACCAATGGGCATGACTTCTCTGATGCACCCAAACTGCTCCTGGATGAGTAAGGGGGAGCTATAGTAGCGCCGGAACCCCTTGGGCTGGAGAAACAGAGAAGGCCTTAATGTCACTAGTGCTGGCAAGACCAACCCAGAACACCCCCATGGCACCAACCTGGTCTCTGGGGGCATCCCCCCCTCTGCTCTGGGCTCCAGAAGCCCCCTGCCTTTGGCTCTCTTCTTACCAAAGGGAGAACAAGGGAGTCATTTGGCCAAGTGGATTATTCGGAGCGCCTTGAAGCGGGCAGGGCCTGCCTGGCATGAGGGAGCCAGCAGGCGGTGGGGAATATGCCCCAGGGTCTCCTGAAGGCCCAAGCAGCCTGTCTACCCTGAGTCTCTTCTCTCCCCTCTCCCTATATCCTGAGTCTGGGATAGGGGCAGCAGGGACAGCCCCCTGAAGCTCGGTGACCCCCTTTCCTGCTGGTAAATAAAGCCCCCTGCTCTCATGGCATGAGATCAGCACCGCCACATTGGGGACATTTCCAAAGGACCAGAGGGAGGGCCCTTGAGCCTGTGCATTTGAGGAAGCCAGAGCGGCCTGGTGGAGAGCCCTGGGCTTGGAGGAAAAAAGATTTGATTTAAAATCCTGCCTCTGACTCTTACTGTGTGTGCTCACCTCAGCTTCCCCATCTGTAAAATGGGGACGATATTATTTCGCAGGGCTTCTGAGAGAGCAGAGGAGGTGATGCCTGTAAAGGGCTAGGTCTGTGAATAACCTGAGGCCAGCTTACCAGTTTGCCCACGCAGCACTGGGGTCCGAGGCTGTCTGCACATTTGTGGTGGAGGCTCATTCTGCACGCTTTGCAGCGCAGACCCTGCTTGGTGTTGCCCCCTGTCAAAGACAGCGGGAGAAGTTTGTTATAGGCCAGGCTGCCTGCCTTGGGGCTGACCTCATCCTGCTGCCTCCTCTGCCAGAAGACCCAGGCCAGTGCCACTCTGCCTGACATCCAGAGCTCAGCCGTCTGTGTCCTCCCCCGCTGTCTGTCCCCAGCTTGGCCTCCGCCCATCCCGGAGGCCTCCTGGAGGCCTGCCTCCCTCTGCTCTCCCTGCAGCTCTGGGTGCACTTGCCCCACCCCTCTTTATTCTGAAACTACATATTCCCTCAACAGGAGGGAAGCTTCTTGAGGGCAGGGAGGGACATTTTATCTTTGCATTTCCCTGTCTAGCTGCAGTACCAAGCTTGTAGTAGGTACTTAAGGAATGTTTGTTGATTGACTGAACGATTGGCCCTTGATTGGCAGGAGGAGGAGGCCTGTCAGTAATACTGATGTTTGTAAAGTCTTGAAAAATCTCAGCGCCTTCTGCTCCCTCCTTCCCAGTCCCGGCCCAGTGGTAGTGGAAGGGGGTGCCTGGGACCCAGAAGCAGGGCGCCCCTTTGTCCTCAGCAAGCTCTGCCTTCCAGGCAGGAGCCCTTCCAGGCCAGGCAGGGCCTCTTCTCAAAGCCTGTTTGTTGGCTCTGGTACAACCAGCCAGAGCTCACCCCGCTGGCATGGCCTTGGAGAGCCTAGGGGCTCCTCCGGGCCACCTTTGCTGCCAGGGTGGCTCGCAAAGAGACAAGGAAACAGCACTGCGGATGGCACACCACGATGCCTGTGCGAGGTCTCGCTCCTTAAACACGGGAGAGCAGCATCTCCCCGGGCTCATGGGCAGCACTCGTCCTGCAGGACCAGAGTGTGGGGCCTGCTGGAAGGCAGGGGCGCCCCCCGAAGAGGTGGGCTTCTAAGAGAAAGGGCCCTTCATCCTCTGGACCCTCAGCAAAGTCTTATCAATCCCCTCACTCCGGGCTCCCCTAGGGCGGCCCTCCCCTAGGCGGCGCGGGAGAAGGGCCCTTCCTGCCGAGGTGGGTGCTGAGGAGGGCCCAGGTGCTCTCCATCATTGAGGTTACCACCTGACAAGACTCTCTGCTCTCAGTAAGCAGAAATGTTTAAGAAAGTCTTCCTTGCGAGCCTTGACGCTCCAGCGGAGCCTGGAGCCCAGAAGGGCCCTGGGTGGGAGGGACTGTGGCTGCACATCTGGAAAGAGGCCCTCGTGGCCCGAGGATGGCACTGCCTCACTCAAGAAGCTGGTCAATGTCTGCGTTAGCCGGTATTCTGCAGTGCGGATGTCCACAACTTACATTTTTGGAGCATTTCGAGGGGCGCCCTCCTTTCTTAGAGGGATGCCGTCACGCAAACACCTTGGAGAGGCAGAGGAGCGCACAGGAGGAGTCATGTGCCTGTGGTCAGTCTACCAAGGTCAGTGAGATCCCCTTTCCTTCTGACCCGCCTTGTCACTGCTTCACTGTGACGCGGCTGGCACCAGGAGCTGCCTGGGGTTGGGGGGAGAGCACAGCCCTGGGAAGGGCGAGCAGGCGGTGGGTCCGGGCGTGGGAGCCAGGCTGGGAGACAGGGGGGCACTGTGAGCAGGATGGGGAGAAGCAGTCTCCTGCCCCCACTGAGGATTTCTGTGCAGGGCACCCTCACTGCAGCCACCCAGACCCCCGAGTTCAAAGGCTTCCTCAAGCCCTCTGTCCAATCCACGGCCAAGCCTGGTGGGTTTTGCCTTCTCAGCGTCTCACACCCATCCTTTCCTCCCAGAGGGCAGCCTGGGGTTCAGGAGGTCTGGGCTCCACACGCACTCCTGCGGTCGGTTGGATGCCCGGCTTGCTCGCCTATACGGTGACAGGCTCGGGTTGGCCGTGACGACGCTGCTCCGTTCCCTTCCAGCTTGACCAGTGTACGTATGGCTGGGATGATGATTCGACCCCTCTCAAGTCTCAGGCCTCAGTGACTCTTTCCAGACTCGGGGGCGTTTTGAGGTCTCAGGCTGGAAGCTCATCATGGCAAAGACAACCTCTCCTTTTCACCGCAGCGCGTGTGTAGACGTGCAGCCTGGGCCAAGAGTGAGTCAGCTGTCTGTCTCTGGGAGTAAATGCAGCCTGAGTTATGGGTTTGTCATTGGACCTGGACTTAGAAGCAAAACTCAGGTGGGACATCACTGAAACGTGGGGTAGGTGGTGTGATAATTGTGATTGAGATCTGTTGTTTGACGGGTAGCCAGGTGGTGTGGTAGACAGACTTCCCTGAAGTTAGGAGGACCTGAGTTCAAATCCAGCCTCCTTACTAGTCTGTGTGACTTTGGGCAAGTCACTTAACCCTGATTGCCTCAAAAAAGAAAGAAAGAAAGAAATACAGTTTGATGTTACAGTTCTAAGTGATTGGGCTCCAATGAGGAGGACTTAGGTTGTGTTCTGATGACCATAGACAGCCTGTACTTTCTCACTGTCCTGAGTCCTTCTGACCCTGAGTCGGACATAGAAATGATCTTGGCTCCTCGTTGGACGAGGCTCCTGGCTGACTGCAGAGGCTGCGTGCTGACACCCATTCCTCAAGTCCCCATCACTGACTCACACCCTCACCCCATTTCCGATTTTGATTAGGAAACTCCCCCACCTGAGTCTGGCATCGATAAGTGAGCCGGGAATTTCCCGACCACATTTGGGTCTGACTGGGAATTCTCCTTCCAATATCTGGCATCCATGACCTATTCTCAATCAAGCCCATCTTTAAGGCATCAACCTTCCCTGCTCAGACCTCTGTCTGAGAGTGTCCTCCCACCAGGATCTTTGCTGCTGTACATATCTCCCTCCCGTACTTTTTGTCTAGTGATGCTGGCCCTGTGCGTTTGGCTGAATCTCTGTCAGTTCTACCAGGGTGTGTGTGTGTGTGTGTGTGTGTGTGTGTGTGTACTTTGTGTGTTGCGCTGCATAGGAATAAAGCTCATGCTTTCTTGTCCCAATTTCCTATAAATCCTTGAACCCAGATCTTTGCTCTAAACCAAGCCGTGAGGCCAAATGAAGCACGTGGTGCTTGGTTGCTGGAGCTTCAGAATCCCAGCTCTGGGCTGGAGAGGGCCTCTGGAAGCGTCTAATTCAATCCCACTCCTTGTACAGATGAGGAAGCTGAGCCCCACAGAGGTGCTGGTATGGGCCCAAGGCCAGCCAGGAGGCGAGGGTCAGAGCCAGGACGTGAGCCCAGGCTCTCTGCAACCCCACCTGTGATGCAAAGCAAGGTGCCATAGTGGGACCTCACTGGTGGCAGAGGGGGACTGAGGCAGAGTCCAGAGGCTGGAAAAAGAGCCCAGGGGAAGAGATCGGTGGTCTGCGCCTTTGCCCTGGCTCTCAGAATGTTCTCCGCCCTCCCTGCCTGCCGCCTCTGACTTCCTAGCTTCTGTCGGGGCTCGGCTCAAAGCCACCTCCCAAGAGAGGCCTTTCTGAGCACCCACACCCCCAGACCGGGCTCCCCGCAAATTACTTTGTGCCGATTTTGTGTCGGCTCACCGGGCAGCACGCTGGCTCCTCCTCAGAACGTTGGACATCGGCAGTGCAGAATACGTGGCTAACGCAGACATTGACCAGCTGCTTGAGTGAGGCAGTGCCATCCTCGGGAGCTGGCGATCTTGCTTCTGGTCTTTGCACCCCCGTCCCTCCGGAGACCAGGCGTCCTGCCACGGAGGCCACGTCCACGTGGTGCGGCATCTCCGGAGCTCTTCACAGGAAAGCGTCACTAATTCTCCATCTGCCCCAAATGCTTCTCTTAGCTCAAGTTGAAAGAGTGCTGGCCCGGGAGTCAGGAGACTGGCCTGGGTCCAGTCTTGGGCACCTCGGACTTAGGAAATCATTTCTTCTCTCTGCAACTTCTGCGGCAGCTCCAGCGTCCTCATCTATAAAGCATTGGTGCCTGCATATGATCTGACCTGAACCCAGACCCACACCCCTCCAGGCAGGGCTGTGGCTCGGGAGATGCCCACGTGTGTCTGTGCCCAGAAAGGGCCTTTATCCAACCTGAAGGATGTCTGAGCTACGGGCTGGCTGGGCCGCAGTCCACGCTGGTGCCCTTGGCTGACGCTTGACGCCTCTTGCTATAAATTTCCGGGAAATGAAGGGAGGCAGCCTGGCCGGAGTGGATCTGGAAAGCAGCCCTGGTCAGTCTGGGTTTGCAGGAGCCAGGGCCCAGGGAGGGCATTTTAATGGGTCTTCTAGATGGCACAGGTGAAGTGGGTGGTTTGATGGAGTCCAGATCTGCGTGAGGGGGTGGGCCCAGTCTCCCAGCCAGCTGTCGGTCTGAAGATAAAGGCTGAGTTTCAGCCACAGGGGACTGCAACAGGAAGCCGGGCGAGGCCTGTGAGCCTGGAGGCCTCAGGTGGCAAGTCCTGCCATGCCCTGGGAGGTGAGAGAAGGCAAAGCATGCCTGGGTGGCTCTGGGAGCCCTGAGCCGGAGGATACACAGGCTCTCACAGCGCGGGGTGAGCCCTGGCCATGGCACCGGAGTGAAGGAGAATCTGTCGTCTGCACACAGCCATGGAGGAGGTGGGGCCAGGACTGACTCTGCGTGTGGCTGTCACGCACCAGGGCACTGGGTGCTGCAGGCCCGGGGTCTGTCTCGGACTGGGGTGCATAAACCTTGGGATCCTTCTCCACAGGCTGAGGTCAGGGGGCTGCCACCTCCTTGCCTCCCCAGGTAGGCTTTGGGTGGGCAGAAAGCTCTGTTTTGAGCCTTCCCTCATAATCTGTCACCTAGAGAAAGAACAAATCCCTCAGATCAGTGGACCTGTGTGGTCAGTCATCAGGGCCGTCTCCCATAGGGGCTACCATAGGAAGCAAAAGGTCCCCAGGCCCCCACGGGTCAGGCCAGGCGGGTTCCACCCTTCGGGCTCCATGTCCTGGTTCCAGAGCATGTCACGCACCTGCCAAAAGACTCCAGGGATTCCCTGGTACCCTGAGGATCTGTCTGCCGTCAAAGCTCCCGAGAGCCTGGCCTCAGCCCCCTCTGCAGCCACATCATAGGTACATCA